AATTTGAAAAATTGTGACACATTTCATGATCCATTCATTGGACATTTTCATTTTTCTTACCCTTTTCCAATAAAATCACATTTTTGAGACCTTTCCTCAAGTGGTAAACGCTTGAAAATGCTCCCATTCGGTTCTACGATGAAAATTGACTATAGAGCAGTCATGTTTTTAATACTTTAACAGAGTTATTTATATTTTATTTTAAGAATTTCATTAGAAAATATGTCCCATTTTGGCCAAAATCGAGATTTTTTCAAATCCAGCTCCCCAGACAGGATGCATCACTTCAGAAAAAGTAATGATGCAGAATGTTCCCACTTGGTATGTACTACTCATAGCCACCCCAGGCCATTTGATATTGTCACTTTAAAAAAATCGACCCACCCTAAGTGTCTGTGCTGAAATCCATACCTTTGTTGTACACAGACACGGTTGACACAGTATTTTACGACTACATTCGATGTTCTAAACGGTCACCCATTTATCTCCTGAGCAAAGCTTGTGCAGCTTAACTCAGTTGATCGAATAGTGCCGCAGTAGTCGTAGTAGCCACTGTGCCCACACATTGTTTTTTTATATTTATTTATAAATCTCATACAAAATGTAATACAATAATCAATATTTACTTTGCTTGACAGCAGATTTCGATAGGGTCAACTAATGACATTTGTGATTTGACAGCTCGGCCACGGTTTGGTCCCGGTTAGACGAAGTGGCGCGTGATATTATACATACGACTGCACACAGACTTACAATGTCATAGCAATGTAAAACAGAGAATTGCATTTTTCTAATAGAAGAATTTAAATAATTTCTTTTAATTTTTTTTCTTAAACATATTTATTTATCTATAAAAAAATAAAAGTAAATTTTAACATTTCTTCGAATCAATTGTGTTTCAAAATGAAAAAAAAAAAAAAAAAAAAAACTTCAAAAATTTACATTACACCTGAAAACCTGAAATACACAAATGAATGGTTAAGAATAATAATGAAACTTAATTTTGGTTCAAACTGGAGTGTCCCGCAGAATTATTTCAAATTAAAGTGTCCCGAATATTTGTTTCAAACTAAAATGTCCCTACAAAAAAGATTCATGTAAATTTTCCTAAGTGCCATTTTCATTTGCAATAAATTTGAGGGACACTTCGATTGTAAACTTTTTTCTGAGTCCTATTCATAGAAATTTTTTCGGGGGACAGTTTGAAAAAAAGTTTATTTTTTTTGACATTTCAATCATAATTTTATGTACTATATGTATGAGAACTGAGAAAAAATCTGTTCAATAGGTACATAGCAAGTTTATATGAAACTCTCGGAGACTCGGTATAGGGCACTCAAACAGTGAAAAAAGCTCAGATCGTGATTTAGATGATATGGAATGCGATTTTTTTCATTCTGATTTCACCAGGTGATACAGAAAATTGAGTAGTATTTGAGAATCGAAGAAAACAAATTAATAATTTTTTTAATTTTTCGCGATTTTTTATACCATCTATATGGGAAGCTTGTATGAAAAACACGGAAGACCGCTGAAATGACATCGTCGTACGTCCGTACATATTTCGTATTTGCCATTTCAGCGGTCTTCCGTGTTTTTCATAGAAGCTTCCCATATAGATGGCATAAAAAATCGCGAAAAATGAAAAAAATAATTAAATTTTTTTTCTTCGATTCTCAAATACTACTCAATTTTCTGTATCACCTGGTGAAATAAGAATGAAAAAAATCGCATTCCTTATCATCTAAATCACGATCTGGACTTTTTTCACTGTTTGAGTGCTCTATACCGAGTTTCCGAGAGTTTCATATAAACTTGCTATGTGATACCTATTGAAGAGATTTTTTCTCAGTTCTCATACATATAGTACATAAAATTATGATTGAAATGTCAAAAAAAAAACTTTTTCTCAAACTGTCCCCCGAAAAAATTTCTATGAATAGGACTCAAAAAAAAGTTTACAATCGAAGTTTCCCTCAAATTGATTGCAAATGAAAATGGCACTTAGGAAAATTTACATGAATCTTTTTTGTAGGGACATTTTAGTTTGAAACAAATATTCGGGACACTTTCATTTGAAATAATTCTGCGGGACACTCCAGTTTGAACCAAAATTAAGTTTCATTATTATTCTTAACCATTCAAATGTGTGTGAAATGTTTGATCCAAACTATTCAATTCGCCTTGGACACAGCAATGAAACGACAACAACAATAACACAGAATGGTGTCGACATCAGTGACAGTATTAGTGACAGTATTTTGAAACACACTTTGAAAGCCATTTTCATCGTATGTTTGCAAATTCGATTTAGTTCACATTAATGGTTGCAAGTATTCTTCAAATCATTTATGTCCACTAGTGTGGACATGGTCTGTGTGTTTCTTCTGTTACAAGTACGTTATAATGGACAAATATAAAAATATGGCGTCGTTCAAATAAATTTAAAAACTCCATCACCACTGTCACCGCCATCTAGCTCTTTAGTAGGGATTTCATTGCTGTGGCCTTGGATTATTGGATTTGTAATTTTTGAACTTTTCAGTTATATCCATAGTTTACCTCGTTTCTCAGGTTAATTAAAATTAGGAATTCAACAAGCCTGTGGTAAACCTATTGCAAGTTATGATGCTACTCGACTGCCGGGCTTTCATCTGTTCGGCACGGGCTCCTGTGGCCCCTGCTCGTTCAGCATGAGCCTTTTGTGACCATAGCTGTTCGGCAGGGCCTAGACCATCTCACTGCAGTTGTTGTGAACATTCATAACTCTACCATACTCCAGATGGCGCGAGGTTCCTCTATTCAATGTAAAAATGCTACCACCACTGATTTACCGGTATATTCACCAGTAGTTCAGCACTATATGGTTTTACGGTTGACGTATTAGATATTTGGCATATCCAACACACCAACATAACGTGAAGGCACTCCATGTGTCTATGCTGAACTCATTATTCATTCTGCACACACGGGACCGACGGCTTTTAGTGACCCCCGAATCACTCCACAAGCCCGAAACTCGTCCAAATCTATTCCGCAACCACTGATAATTCCTGAGCGAATGACGATGGAAAAATATCGGACGAAATTTGACCGAGAATCGAACTCGCGTTCTTATGCTCACAAACCTGGCACGCTAACCAATAGTCTATGGCTGTGTTATGGCTCCAAGTTCCAAATTATTCAAATTTGCTGAGGTTTTCGGAATTTAGAAAAATTCTTCCGATTTGCTAGGGACTTTCCAAAATAAATGAAATTAGCAAAACTATCCATACAAGTTTTGCTCGCTCATAACTGCTATACACCCATTTGTACGCTTCGTAAATCTTGAACACTTAGTAAATTTTGAACACTGAGCAATATTTGAACAATGAACATGAGACCAAGCTGCTTGAAAGCATTCTGGCCTGATTTGGCCGATTTAAAGGTATGTTTTTAACTCGGAATATAAAACAAATCACTTTATGAAGAATTTCAAAAATGACATTCATATGTTTTCCAATCATACTCAAATGGAATCAATAAAATTTAGATACAGAGATTACGAAAGAGATCATAATCGAGCGGGATATGGAATTCGTTTTTCAACGACGATAAAATCAATGAAATGGAAAAACAATCAAAACAATTCTACTAATGATTGTCGTTTCTCTTTTCCATGTATTCACATCAAAGCGCGGCGATGACAAGCAACGTTGACAGAAGCGCCATGGTGCGGTTGCCAGCGAAACTAAAAAATGGCATAAATTTCGATCGCCTAAATCAAAAATGGTACAAATTTGTGCCACTCAACATAAACAGTTACAACCATAATGAAGTTGCTGCGTTGCCCAGCTGTCATTGTAGTCGTGCTTTGATTCACTTCTGAATGTGACCGAAAAGTACACATAAATCCGGCCTTAAATTTGACAGGAATTTGTGCCTGATAATGGGTGAATTTGTGTTACAAATTATTTCTTTTGCCCAACTAAATATACAAATTATATTATGATATTATACTTACCACATCTTTTCGTATGGAATCATAACACAAACAAGGTTTTATCAAACTTTGAGGATGAACAAATTTCAAATCCGTTATCATGTAGTAGCTGTCAATAGATAATAAGTGGCATAATTATTCATTTTCTTTATAATTGTAAATATTACATAAACAGATTTCCAGAGAATCAACAATTTTTGTAAAATGTGTGTTTAAACCTGTGGATTCAATTGATTATATGTTGTTATTTTCCGAGTAATAGTCATTTCATTTTCACATTATAGTCTTCAAAATTGAAACTTTTTTTAAAACAATTTTTAATATAATTTTTTCAGAATTCATTGCATCGAACTTGAATGATATTCAATTTTTTTTTAATTCGAAATAAATAATTTCAATTGATCTGCTGAAACTGATGTGGCCTTGTCGAATTTCAGATCTCCTTGGGAAATTTTTTGTCCAATGCCATAATATTGAAATTTTTATTATAATATGTATATTATAAGTTTTGTGGATTTAGCAGTGGCACTCACACGTTGAATTCACAAGTAAATGAAACAAATGTGCACTGTGCAATGAAAAACTACAAAAATGTAAATATTATGGCATTGGTCAAAAATTCTCAAGAGAGAACTGAAATTCAACAAGCCTGTAGGTTTTGAAGATATATTTTTCAAGAGCTTTAAATTATAATTTATCGATATTTTTATTTCTTTATCTATGTTTCATTTTGTTTCTTTTTTCAAAAATTCAATGGTTTTGTATGTTCAGCTAATAACTAATAGTTATTATTGCATCCTTTATTATTTTATTCGTTTTTTTCTGAAATTTATATAAGTTTTTGAAAACTCTGTTAAATTGTTAATTTGTTGTTCAAATCAGAGACAGTATGAATTTATTGGCGCTGAAAATAAAATGTTCTGTATTATTAATATTTTGGGCACTTGAATCTTTCGTTGTTTTCAAAAATTTTCTTCTTGCATAAGAAATTATTCGCGAATCATTTTAAATTGTTTAATTTACGCAAAACTCCCGTCTGTGTTGTTTTTTTTTGCAAGGGCATAAATAGTGATATTTCTTCTACGAATTGTATGTGATGTACTTTGAGTTACTTCATGCACACAAGTTTAATAAGCAAAACAAATACAAGCTTTGTAAGACACTCTTATTTTATTAAAATCAAGTTTGTTTTTCATTTACTTTCAGTTTGATTTATAATATCACAAAGTTCGAATAGAAAAAATACTTCAAAATACTCTTTTATTGGATGCACTTATCGATTCTTTTAATCGCGTCCAAAATATTTTATATAATATATGTTATATGTAAATGTTTATGGTCTTAAATTGTGCGATATGTCTTGTGTATGACATTTTATGAAAGTAATTATTTGAATTATCACAACCAACGTAAACTTCATTTACTGCAAGGAAGAGATTTTTTTTGTTTTCAACTAGAACTTTGCTTAAAAAATGGTGTCCAATGTTAGTTTTTACTATAGTTGGCTGCACTATTAATACGCATATAAAGCGTGGTAATTTAATTCGATTGGGTCTTTTTAATAACATACATATTATATTGTAATGTTCATTTGAGAATATTCATTCGTATCGTTATCGTTTATCGTTCTTATCTTACTGCTATGTATGTTTGTTATTCACCGTTCTCGATTTTTTTTTTCCATTTTTTTGATGTTTTCTAATAATTTTCTGCTTTAGATTTTTCCATTTTTGATGAGTCTTTTTATAATTCTTCATAATCAGTAATCGATTCTCTGTGATTTTCGAGAACAATTCTTACTTAAGAGAGGACAATTTTAAAAAAAATCGAGGACACTATGCAAAAAAATCCGGCTAGCTTCGCTCGCCACTTTATTCCAATTTCTTCTTCAATTACATGGCTAATTTATAATGTTATTAGATATTATGTTATCTATAATTCGATTCTCCAATCTTTTTCTGTAAACTTATCAATAATATCAGCAATATTAAGACATTTATTGATAGACAACATATCTCATAACCAGTATTCAGCTATGGATATAGCGGCTGCAATTTCATAGACGCTATTTAATTCGTGTGCTGAATGCGATATTTGTTTTCTACATGTTGTGCATTATTTTTATCATCTCTCTCGTTTGTATACACTCAAAAACTATTGACTGCTCATAACATTAGAAATTTTTTATGTAACTGAAAAAGAAATGAGAATAAAGGTGGCGAGCGGAAATTTTTTGCATAGTGTCCTCGATTTTTTTAAAAAATGGTCCTAGTTTTCTGTAATTAAAAATGAATCGAAAATATGAATTCATGAGAAAACTGAATCTGACATTATTTTTGCGATACAAATAATTTCTGATACATTTTTCAATAATATCGTAATGACGTGAAACTTTGCACAGGGTATGTTTTTCACACAAAAGTAACATTCTGAAAGTTTGAAGACATTTTAATACAATTTAGGGGTACTTCCACACAAAATTTTCGTTTTCGAGCAAAACATCCAAAATTTTGTATGGGTGATATTGTGTATTTTGGCAAGAAAATAAGATTCATAAGTTTTTATGGCGATTAAATTACTTCAAACAAACATTTATTGCGGTTTGTTGATTGGAAATTTATTGGATTTTTCCCAAAATGTGTAGTTACAGAAATTTAATTACAGTGAGAACTTGTAAATCTAATTTTCTTGCCAAACAACATAATCTCAGCAAATTTGAAGAAATTTCAATACAATTGAGCCTTCAATACCTTCCATAAAAAAATTTCGTTTATGAGCAAAAACTCCAAAATTTTGTTCGGGAGGTACCCCTAATATGCATTAAAATTTCTTCAAACTCTCAGAATGTTATTTTTGTGTGATAAAAATAACCTGTGCAAAGTTTCATATCATTACGATATTATACAGGCATGGCTTTCATACAAAAATTCAATTTTTTTTAAATTTTTGTATGAACATTGTGTCGAAATATATTTGTATCGCGAAACTAACGTCATATTCGGTTTTTTCGTACCCAGAAACCCCCCAATACATAATTTTGAGTGTTTAAGTATACATTTAATATCGATTTTGGATTAAAAATTGAATTTTTCCTTTGGGCATCATTCCAGACATGATACGTCACTCTATCAACCAAAGTCGCTGAAAATCTAATGGTTTCTATTCCTCGGCACCCCCAATCATCCTGTGAAGTCAGATTTTGAATTACTTTTCTTGTTTGAAAGTTATCGTGTCAACAAATTTTTGCGTACAGGGTACAGGGTACCACGCACATACATCGAAAAAACGCTAGATTGGCTAGATCAGACCCCTCGGACCCCTCGTATGCCGCCAACATATTAATAACATATTTTAATAATTTTTTAATAATCTTATTAATTTCTAGAAAATATGTTTTGAATTAATAAGATATAATATTATCAATTTGGGAATTCCACACTGAATTCATGTATGAAAACTTCATATTAAAAATACTTCACTTTTTGGTTGATGGAAAAAAGGTAACTTTTTCACGATATTTTCGGAAAAATGATGATATATTAATAACCGCTAATATTATTGACCGTTAATAACATATCAATTTTGTCAAGCTGTAACCCCTAAAACACCCAGAAACATGTTTTTTGAGGTTGCTAACTTTTCGACCGACTCCAATACTTTACCACTAGGTGTGTGCGGAAAAGTAATAAAAGAATTTCAAAAGTCAACAAATTTGAATTTTTAAATAGGCAGTGTCTACTGATTACTTAGCCGTGTTCAATTAGACCCCGGGAAGGTCTGAATTTTTTTAAATTACCGCTTGAAAGAAAATTGTCTTTGACCAAAGACAGTATGACATCAATCAATCGTAGATGCAGGAAATGCAAAAAAGAAAGAAAGGACAGAAAAAAGACAACAAAACCACCCGGCGGTGGGACTTATGTTTGACACACTCTTTTGGAATTCAAATAATCACAAAATGTTGAAAATCTTTAGAAATTTCTCCAATTACAGGTAGATTTTGAGTCCTTTCTATGAAAATTGAAGAGGTCTCCGAACAAACTTTTCCTTTTTTATTCAATATTGACAAATTTCAATCATGCGGTTTTAAAAAAACTCAGACATGCTGGCTCAGTAATCAGTGGACACTGCCCGATCATAATAATAATAACTGCACCGAACAGCGTTCCTTCGCCTTGGTGGTTTATTCAAAATAATTTAAATAAATACAATATGATTAAATTCTTGCATCAAGCATTTTTGAATAATAATTTTTATAAAAAGATTTCATTTATGTTTACAATTCATCTATTTTCTTTCAAATATTTCTCAATTCTAAGCTTTACCGTCGATAAATTTACTTCTAAATCAATCAACTTAGTATCACAATTTGGTGTTTTCTTTGTATAATAATCATTGAATGTAATAAGCATATAATTAATTGGTTCATATTTTGTGTAATCACTTCCTCTAACTGGAATATTAAAAAGCGGTATTGCACGGGTATTATGCGCTGAATTATAATAATTTAAACTGTTTGATATATGAGTTGACTTCATATCTCCATTAATAATTTTGAAGATGAAAGACACTTGCGCCATCTTGCGTCTTTCCTCCAGCGTAATCATTTGTAGAAATAGCAGTCTATGCTCATATTTTGGAAGTCTATAGCTATCCCAGTTCATTCTCCTTAGCGCATAAAGTAAAAATTGTTTTTGTATTGACTCTATTCTTTTGCACATATTGTCGTAGTGTGGATTCCATATTTCCGATCCATATTCGATGATTGGTAATACAAATGTAAAATAAAGGCGTTTAATTGTCCATGGATCGACGAAATCCTTGCCGTAGAACTTTAACCAAGCCAGTCTTGATTTGGCTTTAGCCGTGACATGCTCAATGTGTGATTTGAAATGCCATGATATTCGTTGCTATTTTTGTTACTCATGTTTATACAACTACTCTGAGCTTTAGGCTTTGATACCTACATTTTTTTAGAAAAAGTCAATCACCCTACCAAACCATGGGACGTGAAAAAACTTGACATCAGCGCCAGTCCCTCATAACTAAAAATGGTACAAATTCGCAATAGACTTATAAATCGACAAACACGCTTAGAAAGTCTAATAA